GTCCCAGATACAAGAGTGGTACATTTATACAAATAGGATGACCACACTCAGGAGATTATAAGCTTTGTAATGATACCTTACAAGAGACCTTTTGCATGAAGCATATTCCAGTTATATTATATTCACTCTCATTAGCATATTTCCATAAAGCATATGGAGTGCAACGTCATAACGGGTCCCATCCCTCATTCGCTCGTAGCTCCGAGACAGGCTAGACAGCGGGCGGCGAACCGGGCGAGCTGGGAACGTAGCGCGAGACGCGTCGGTGGAATCTCTTCGTTCCCGCGTGTTGGGCTGGGTGCAGGATCTCCGGGCAACTCTCTGATGTCGGAGGGCAACTTAGATCCTAAAGGGCTTAAAATCTATTAGCCTGAGCGGGCTGTACGGGCTGTTTGCAAAGCCTGCTGGGAGCGGCGAGCTGTGATGGGCGGGTGTTGCCGTTGGTCTCTGTCAGGCGTCTGGATTGTGCATTTATCGATTCATCGTGTGCAGCGAAGCCCGGGGGGCTGAGTCCTCGTCGCCCAGCCCCGTGCGCTGCCGTCGCACCAGTGCAAAGGGAGAGTGACATTGTCGGCTCACGAGGGTGGTATTTTGCACAGAGATTTGGGGAAGCAGAGCCTGAAGGGAAAGGCAGAGATTTTAGTAGCTCAGTATTAGGTGCATCACGGCCCGTTGAGCCAGGCGCTGCACAGCCCCTGCCCGGGAGAGTTTACAGTCTAAATTGACGGAGGGCGGGAGGAGACGTGACTTGCCCCACATCATGCACCAGGCGTCCTGGCTCCCAGTGGCCACACCACCCCCTGCAGCCCTGCTCTGCACCCTGCCGGATAATCTCTCGTGCCTTCTTGGCAAGTCGGCATCTGCTGGGCAACCCCTCCCCCCCCTTGGCTGCTGTTTAACGCCAGCGAGGTAACGAACGTGTCAGGCGCGCCCGGGCCAAGAGCTGTGTGCGGTTTGGTGCACCCCACGCTCGGAGGAGGGACGAGCCGTTGGTCCCGGCTGGGGGGGCTATGCACAGCTCTGTACAGATTACTCGTGCATCGGGCCCAGCGACTCCCTACAGCAGCCCTTGAAGTCTCCTCCGGGCGTTTGGCCTCTGCGTGCAGCGTTTGGGCTCCGTGCCAGGGAGAGCGTCGGTTCCTCGGGGTTATGCCGAATCGTTAGGGTCATGGCAGCCCCAAAGCCCCGGTGGGCTGGCCAGGCCCAGCGGACAGACAGTCCCTGCCCCGAGAATTCACTGCTGAGCGTGGTGAGTCGCACGGGTGCAAAGCCTTGGCCAGCTAGCAGGGGCCTGTGCGTGCTGGGCCGTGCGTGTGCAGCACAGAGCCTGCTCCCCCCCCGGGCTCCGTGCGTGTGAACGCACGAGCGTGAGCGGCAGCGCTGTCCGCACGGGCGATTGAGGGCGCCGCTTTGTCTGCTGCGATCGCTTGTGTGCGATGTTTGGACACGCGGGATGGCGGGTACGTGGGCAGACGCCAGGTGCATGAAGCTGGGGTGCAGCGGGTGCCAGTTCTGTCACTGGCGTGCACAGGCAGGGCATACACGGACTGCACGTTGGCAGTGAATTGTGCGTCAGCTTTCCCCCGTGCCGATCCCTCGTGCACACACTTGGTGCGTTGTCAGTTGCACGATGAGTGATCGGATGGCGTATGAGACCCGTTCTGGGCGGGGGGGAGGGGGCGTGCAGGAACGTTGAGCGTGTGGCCTGGTACGTTCACCAGTAACTGTCGTGCTCTGGTTGCTGGAAAGTGCTTGGTGCTGTTCACGCTGCTTAGAAAACAGCAGACAGGCCCCGATCCAACTGGCGGTTCCTGGGCTGCCGGCTGGAGCAGGGTCTCCGGGAACCCCGGCCCAGAGCCTGTCACTTGCTGTCGTTTCCGGTAGACGTTAACGCTCCCCGATGGCCAGCGGAGCAGCCGAGCTGGAGAACATGGAGGTCCAACCGCAGAACAACAACACCCGCTGGGAGAACACGGACAACCAGGCCTGGGACGACACCACGGCCACCGCCAAGCTGTTCGAGTGCTCCCGCATCAAAGCCCTCGCCGGTACGTCCGCGGGGGGTGGGAGCCTGGATGTCTGGGTTCTCTCCTGGCTCTGGGAGGGGAGTGGGGGCTAGTGGTTAGAGCAGGGGGCTGGGAGCCAGGACTCCTGGGTTCTCTCCTGGCTCTGGGAGGGGAGTGGGGGCTGGTGGTTAGAGCTGGGGGCTGGGAGCCAGGACTCCTGGGTTCTCTCCTGGCTCTGGGAGGGGAGTGGGGGCTGGTGGTTAGAGCAGGGAACTGGGAGCCAGGACTCCTGGGTTCTCTCCTGGCTCTGGGAGGGCAGTGGATTGTGTTGGTTAGAGCAGGGGGTGCCGTGGGGGGCCCTGCACACGTGACTAGCCATCTCCACAGGCTGGGCGTGGGCAGGGCAGTGACCGATCTCTTTACCCGGCAGATGAGCGTGAGGCCGTGCAGAAGAAAACCTTCACCAAGTGGGTGAACTCGCACCTGGCCCGGGTGTCCTGCCGCATCAGCGACCTCTACGCCGACCTCCGCGACGGCTACATGCTGACCAAGCTGCTGGAGGTGCTGTCCGGGGAGCAGCTGGTGAGAACGCCTCGGCCGGCCCGGCGCTACGGGGACTCCTGGGGGCCTGGGGACCCCTGGGGGCCGCCCTGTCAGAGTCTGTGCTAGGTGCCGTGGCGGGATGCACACTCTGCCCGCTGCAGCCGGTGCAGGGCACCGCCGGGGTGGCAGGACGCTGGCGCGGTGTCCCCAGCCGGCACGGACAGAGCCAGCAGCAGAGGGTGGGGTTGGGGGGTGGTTCTGTAAAGGGGATCTGGGATGGTTCTGTCCCCATTAGCCGAGAGCTCTCCCCTGGCCGGGCGGGGAGCCTGCGTGGCCCCTGGGACGGGGAAGCTGGAGGCGCGGTGCTCAGGCCCCGCCCCGTCGCCCCCAGCCCAAGCCGACGCGCGGGCGCATGCGGATCCACTCGCTGGAGAACGTGGACAAGGCCCTGCAGTTCCTGAAGGAGCAGCGCGTGCACCTGGAGAACGTCGGCTCGCACGACATCGTGGACGGAAACCACCGCCTGACGCTGGGGCTCATCTGGACCATCATCCTGCGGTTCCAGGTGCGAGGGGCCGGCGAGGCCAGCGCCCGGGCGGGCGGGCGGGCGCTCGGGGGAAAGCAGGTGCTCCGGGGGGTGGGGCTGCCCCAGGATGGCGCTGGGGGGCGCTGTGCTGCAGGGAGCGGGCTGGGGGGTCAATCGGGGGCACTCTGCCCTGCCAGCGGTGCTGGGAGCCGCGGTTCAGGAGCATAAGGGCAGTGCCTGGTGCCATGGGGTGGTGACAGATCCCCAGGGACGGCCCAGCCCCAGGGCAGGCGACTCCGCTCTGCCTCTCCCTGCCTTCCAGTTGGACGCGGGCACTGTTACACAGCCGCCGCCGTCTCCCCCCCAGAGGTGGCTGCATCCCAACGGCGAAGTGATCTCCATATCGATCGCAAAGCACCGCCCCCACCCAGCCTGGCAGGTGGCATAGGGCCAGTTACACCCGCTGACCCCACGCAGGGTCCCCCCCCCCAGGCTGGGCGCGGGGGCAGAGGGGATGCAGCTCTCTCTGTTTTCCCAAGGTGCCGTCTTAGGGGGTGTGACAATGCGGTTCTGGCGGGACCCAGCGGAGAGTGCCAACTCAGGACAAATTGCTAAAACAGGGCAGTTACAGCCCAAG